CATCCCACGCTTCAGCTAAGCAACTCATCCAAATATTTCCAAAGTATTCGCGATTGTCGAAAGTTGAGAACGGCTCAAACTCTTGAAGCGGATTAGTGCCTGCGCAGAGGGTCGGAGCACAAAGCAGAGCTAGGGGGCTCTACAGGTAAGATGCTTTCAGCTTCTGCTGCCGAGTCACTGCCGTTCCAAACCGGTGATCTCCCAATGACCTACCGAACAAGTGAGCGAAGGCGCAAGGATGCAAGGCATTGCAAGGCTGAACGGCTCTCAGCCTAAGGAAGGAACAGGCCTGCCGCGTGCAAGCACCAGCGGTCCATACGATGGAGAACAAGAACAACATGGTCCACAACAGTGTCCTTTCCACCGCGAGATTCAAGGACTTCGGCTGCTCTAGTGCGCCGAGGGCAGTCCTGGCCGCCTTGCTTGTGCCACCAAGCAATACGATCAGCTCTTTTGACTTCGACATGCTCTTGAAGGCGCGGATAAGCCGAAGCAACCTGCAACGTAGCTCTGTAGAAAGAAGGAGGAAGCAAGAGCAATGGCAATGCACGCAAAGACTGTGATCGTCATGCTTCTCGGTTGCAATGACCATGCAGGTACCCTCACACTTAGCATGCTTCACTGCAGTGGCCTGAGCAACCGGATTGATGGCAATGACCGGGCCATGGAAGCCCCCGCAGCCATGCGTTCCACGAAGGTTAAGAGTACCAGTGCAATATCTAGACCTGGGCTTTCCGTTGCAGATGGAGCACAGGGCTGAAGCAGCATCAGGAAGCATTTAACAGCACTCCGTGCTCTGAAGTTATAAGAGCCTGTGGCGGTAGCGTTTCGGGCAGGCTCAGGCTGCTGCATGTAAGAGGATCTTTGATAGCTGGAAGACCGCGAGCCAAGAATCGGAGAAATATTTCACCTCGGGACTCCCAAGCTAGCTCTGCCTCTGCTGCCGCGCAGCTGTTCATTACGAGTACCTGCCCCTGCTGTCACTGCTTGCGCCCACGTCGCACATGTAGATCAGCAGGAACCCGTTGTTGGTGATAGAGAACACAGCTGGCGCCACATCTTTCAGCTCCAGTTCCAGGCCTCGCTTTGACTGAGCACAAGAAGGGCCTCAAACAGAAAGGCAATATCCACAACGGTACAATCGCAAGGCGGTTTCGATGAGAGACTTGGTTCAGCCTAGACAAATCGCCAATGCCTGTGCTTCCATGGTGCAACAGAATGCTGCAAGCCGGTGGATTTTCAATAGCCATGCCGGCCATGCCAATTTCCGTTTGCTGTCCAAGCACCGATGACAACCGAGTTGGTCAAAACCACAGTGGCCATGATCGTGGCGAACCACTGCGTCTCCACCTCAGTCCGATTCTCTCCGTCTGCCCGTACAACCCCTGAAGCCACCTCCCACAGCCTGCCAAATGGCCACTCCGCAACCAAACCTTGCCCTGGCTTCTTGAAGGCAGGATGCCAGCGGCACTGCTTTCTGCGACGCGAGCTGCACCTTGTTCTCCTGACAGAGGCACAGGGGAAGTTCAGCGACCCATCCGCTCTTCGATTGCCGCGACAAGAAGTATTGCTCTGCACATCTTTACCAGCTCCTATATGAACGAATGAAGGAAAGACCCAACCTTGCCTCTCCCTTGTGGTGTGATTCATGCGCTTCAGGCAGGGTTTCCGACCTGTCCCAGAGCCAGCAAGAGTGGCCAGTGCCTTTCTTTACATCATGCAGCGATACTGTATTCGCTATGTGCATCGGAAAGACATGCGATATGCATGGTCATCATGCGCGCGTTTGCAATGTAGCGCTCTTCCAAGCGGTTTACTGTTACGAAAACCGGCTGTTTGGTGTGAAAGTCTGGTTACATAGGCCACGCAACACTTTGTGGAACAGGTGCTGCACCCACGATCAAGATTGACCTGCCCGTCCCTGGCATCTAGTCCACTTGCGTAACGGAACATCAGAACGCTGCATGCAAAGGCACGAAACCCTGGCAGTGTCGTCTACCAAAACATGATGCCATTGCAGCTGCGGCACGCCAGCATCTCGTCTTCCCTTGGGCACAGCGACTTGAAGTCGAAATGGGCACGAGACTGCAACATCTGAATGTGCGGAAGATCACTAACTGACACAGATGCCTCACTCACAACAAGGCAGCTACAGGCTGATACAAAGACTCTACAGTGACGGATAGGGTCTGCACCAAAACCATTTTGCTGCAGCAGGATCTGCAGATAAGGGCCCAAGGGCCCCAGCTGAAACTCGCGAGTGCCAAACACAGATGGTCTGAATATGTGCTACCAGGAAACAGCCTCTCTGACTGCCTTGGCTGGTCGCGCGAAACTTCTGTAGTCTTTGCCGGCGCTCTCCACGCAATACTCAACTACAAGTCTTTAAGTGCGGTCAATGACTTCGCGTGGCGGCACTTGCACACACAGACGCAGGCTTGAGCAGATGGCCGGGAAAGAAGTGTCATACCGCTCTTTATGCTCTTTTGCCTAAGGGCATAAATGGCATAAACGAAAGGCCTCGAACCGCACGCACAAGCGTACAAATCCATTCTGCAGTCTGCTGTGGCCGGAGGAGAGGAGCATCATATCATTCCGGATATCATATCCAGACGAGCCTCCGGTTGAGTGACCTTGCAGTTGACGCGCGGAACAGCACGCCGTCCTCGTCGTCCTCGTGAAGGTCATCCTGGGCTGTCGTTCCCGCCCCTTGCTCCTGTCAACTTTACTGTGCAAGCAGGGCACAGTGCCGCCGGAACGTGTCCCGGATGCGAGTGTATCCGGACTGGCGGCCCGGATTTCAGAGGCATCTTGAGATCTCCACGGCCTCGGATTATTCAGCGGAACATCCTGTAGAAATCAGGGCCCCCCGATGGTCACGCCCATGTTTGCTCCAAAAGTCGGGTGAGCCAGTCCCGAAAGGCGCAGATGACACAGGGGTCGGATGCAAGAAACCCAGGTCTCGACTCATGCTGACGAATAGTGCCGCGGGATGTGAGGGAAGGTGTGGCGCTAGAAACTCCACCTCCCGTGCAACTGCCTAATTAATGAGAACTGCTGCTTGTATCACAAGCTCCCTGGCTCAACATCGGCGAGAGACTAGATTTTGCAAACGCCCACAAGGTGCTTTGGGGGCTCAACGCGGTTTGCTGACGACTCAGATGCGCGTTGGTCGGGTCTGTTCGCCACTCATCCGGACGGGACCACACGGGAGGGGCATGCGTGGGCAACCTAATTGACTTTGCTGCCATGCGCATGTCCACATGCTGGCCCTTGTCGTTTGATTCCGAGACTTTACATGGTGAATGAAGCGGGCTTTGGCACAACGGCCTTCTCGTGCCACCTCTCTGTATCCTCGAGCATTTGCGAAGAGTCCGCTTGTCGTGCCATGCCGAAGGAACATACTTTGAGCATGTTTGAGTGCCATGCGCGACCACCCTGACGCAGAGCGCCCGACAGAACCAGGGTCTGGAAGACAACGGACTACTTGACGACTGTTGTCACTCGTCTTCGGGACCTCTCCGGATGGCCTACTTCCGAAAGGTCTGTGCCCCGTTGCCCCAGCCAAAATTCATGGGCAGACGGCTCTTCTACCAAGGTTGGCCTCTCGTCCGCAGTGAGAGGGATGAAGACGGCTGGTAGACTCAAGTCTGCAATCAGTTTTTGATGTTCGCTTTGCAAAAAAACACCTGCGCAGTCCCAGCTTGAGGAGACAAGGCGTCAGCGATGGTGGAAAGTTCACGGAACACTGGCGAAGGACCCCCGTGCTTCTGAGACAGCGTGTTGCAAGAAAAAGTAGCACCGTGTGGAAACATGAAGAAGAATATCTGCCGGCTGAGACCGGAGCTCATCTGGAGATTCTTGACTTGGAGGACGTGTCATCGTCCCATCCACCCTGTACGGCGCCGGGTCTGCAGATCGCGAGCCGCCATCACTGGACGCGACGACTTACGCCGACCCAGATCTGCTGGTCACTGTCCTGGCTTTGTTGAACCACTTCTTTTCAAACTTGCGATGGGCTGCCTACGGTTTGCATCAGACCTGAGCACAACATTGACACATACGACATGAACCTTGTCAAGCTAAGCAGGCTGTTGGCTGCGTTATTTGGCTGCATGGGCACCCATATTCACGCATCCATGGACTCTCGTTCTATCGGTACATGCACGAGCCGCCAAGGACTAGCGCGACTAGGGCAGAACACAACGATGCTATGAGCGCCTATGACATCAGACACCAGCAGAAGCTGACGAAATCTGAGAACTGAGAAAACACTATGCACAGATGGAGCCCTCGAGAGACTTGCATTGTTAGTTACCCCTGGAGGCTCCACGATGCCCCACTCTAAACTGCTCAGCACTCCGACAAGAATCGTGTTAGACGTCACTGGACCAAAACACTTCCTCCGCGTTGCAGAAAGGCAGACCACAAAACACAGCGGCGAAATCCAGTTCTTGTCGCGAAGGCCCGGGTTCTGGAACACAGCATGACCGGCTACAGGATAGAACGTGCTGCCTCAGCCATCCTAAGCCGGTCTCCACAAAGAAGAGCTGTATTCAGTGCTGTGCACACCTATGCATGCGCAACCTGACCCGCAAGAGTCCCCAATCCAATGAAACCAGAAAAATATGGAAAAGCCAGTGGGGACAGCTTGTGCAACCAAAGCCTGCAGTAACACATCCTCACGCTGGTCGAAGTCGCTCTAGCTGAGAAGCTCCGTTTCGTACCGAAAGGTCGCGTAAACACGACGCTGTTTCAGCGCGGCGTAGCAGCTGGTGAGACTTTGCAGTTGAGGCAGCTTGAAGAGCCTTGGTTCTTCGCTCCTTGGCCTGTCTGTGTATGAAGCATTTTAGCACACGCCTCAGCTGTTGAGCTCGTGAGATGCGGAAACTGCATCTCACAAAGAAGAGCCGTCCGGCCGTCAGTGGCCGGCATCTTCGCAAGCCGACACAGCAGAAGTACAACATGGGGCTTGTGGGCGGCAGGGCAAGCAGATCATCTCATGCTTGGCTTTGCAAGCTGCGTGGTGCACTCTGAACCTTGTCTTTTCGCCAGCAGTCAGGTAGCTCAGGAAACCTACGCCTTATGCTAACATTTCGGCAGCTCCTGAGGTTTAACGATGTGCTCTTGTCTACTGCTACAAAATTCTGCCCGAAGCTTGCGAAATCTTGCACGCATTCTTCTAACAGTTTTTGCTGAAGGACCCCGGACCAAGGCTCCGGCACATATTGAGTGCATTCCACTAATGTCTTGCTCCTGGCACCAAGGAAGCATGCCTGGTACAAGCAACGTCGAGCCCTCGAGCCAGCAAACATCCTGAAACCTCGCGTGCTCACATGCAGAGAAGCGGGGATCCTGCCTTGGGAACTGATGGCAGTTCTCCGATTTGGCAGACTGGGAAGTTCACGCTGTGACCCTGCATCCAATGCAAGTGCAGGCGGATTGTCACAGCGTCGTGGCAAATTTGGAGTCTCCAGGTGCCACGTGCAGCAACTCCCCACCAACAGGCTTACACAACTGACTCCTTCGAAAGATGGTGTGCAAGCTGCTTTCTGGCTGCGTGCAGTCATAAGCATCTGATTCCGCTCCTACTGCATCATACTGCATCTGGTCAACCTCGAAGATGGAACGCTCTCGTGGCCACCAGGTGCCAAAACCCTCTTGCGGAAGGCCGCTCGTGCGCCGCATGAAGGTGTCGTTTCGAGCCCCGGTCTGCATAATTGAATTCGGAATGCTCTCATGGATACGAACAGTCTAACTGCACCACTGCTCGCGCCGGTATCTGTGCCAGAGTGGATGTGAGTCAGGCCTGCTCCGCCTGAGCGTCCTGCGCATCGTCAGTGGCAATCCCACTTTTCTGACCTCCATTGAAGCACTTTCCCCATTGTCTGCCCTGACTTAACAAGCTCATCAATCCTAGACAGGACCCTGGGGATAATGAGGTTAGCTTTCAATTTCGGGTGCGGCCCCGTTCCACTGGCTGACAGACCTTCCAAGCTTCCGATGCACGCCGCAGTGCCGCAGCATGCGAACGACGCTAGAAGTAGAAGCAGGCGGGGCGCGCAGCTATGCGTAACAAGCTGCCACCGGCCTTTGAAGGAGAAAAGTCGCGCAATGCTTGGCTTCCTTCCTGAGCCTGGCCACTGGCAGGTCAAACGCCGGGTCTCTGTCCAAAATGCATTTCATCGAAGTTAGCAGCTTGCTCCTCTCAGCCCTCCAGCCTTTGCAGTCGCATCTTTTTCGCACTGGCGGATGCAATGATTTTGCGTCCGTCATCTCTACAGCTTGGCATGAAACACTCAGGCAAGTATCCTCAGCTACGGCGACGGCAGCTCTCAGTTCTCCACATCTCCACATTATGACGTACTTGGACCGGAAGACTGCGTGAATTGCAGCTGCGAGCCCCTCTCAACTGGCGCAGCGCTCTCTGCCACATTGCAAGCCTGAAGGAGGGACTGGGTCCACACCACAGAGCTCTGGATCTCTCGGGTCAGGCTTGCGGCCAAGGGTGGCACGGGGGCGGACGGCTTACCTGTCAGAGCGAGCTTCTTGGACTGCACCGTGTGCTGGGCCTGAATTGCTTCGCAGAATTTTTGGGCATCCTCGGCAATGCTTTCGGCCTCGGAAACCACCTGTGTGATCTCCTGTGCTTTCTGGAGGGTCTGGCGAATGTGCTGAATGAGGCATGCGCTCGCTGCTTGGCTTGACTCCTCTGCGCTGACGAAAGCCACGGTAGAGGCTGGGATCGCCGCCACGGCTGCAATCGGCTCTGACATTTGGTACAAGGCGCAAACCTGTCGGCTCGCTTGGCCCGGATTTTTTTAGTTGCAACCTGTCTGAGTCTGAGCCAGAATCCAGCGTGTCGTGATGCTTTCATGCATGATAGACAAGACTATCAAGACACACACAGAGCGCACCGGAGCGCTGCCGAGCAGCAAGTTTCTTTCAAGGGCACCATCACGCCATGCTCGGGCTGTGGTCTCCTAGCAGAGTCTCTGGCCTGCTGGAGGTTCTGCCTCGCCCGCGTCCGCGGAAACCTCGGTGATGCAAGCTCACGTTGTCTCCCGTTGCACACATGCACTTCTGAATCGCTACAAGACTGGTATGTTGTACTAAAACAGTTATAACGAGTCCAACCCCACAACTGCCAGCTGTCAGACCTTGCACCGAACCTCTCGGCATGACAGCAGCTACTGTCCCCATGTTTAGAACATTCAACATGGCGAAGATCTCGTCTGTCGCGCAAGGCGAGGAAAACACGTGGTTCCCGAATGCCAAGTCCTTTAATTCTAAGCCAGGTCGCGCTGACTCGGGGCGCGTCTGACACGCCGTGAGGCCAACCCAGTTCACGCATCTGCCACGGAACGGACACGACTACAATGACTACAATGCACTGTGCAACGTATCTCGCGCGCAGCCAACCGAAAGACTGGCGACTGCGCAGGCGCAGGAGAGGCGGGGCCAGCGCGCCTTTCCCGCAAGCCTGCGATCTGCTTGGTACCTCGGCAGAACGGGGTTCGTTACACGCTCCGAGAGCACTGCGATGAGAGGCTTCGGCTCTCTGACAAGCATATCCATGAACAGGAAGTTCTCGAGAATGAGCACTACACTGGCCACCTGGCTTCGGGCGCGACACCGGATATTCGCTGGCAACAAGTGAAACGCAACAACGCGAAAAATCAAGCACAGCTGCAACTAGCCAGTGTCTCGTGATAGAACACCCTGATGGATGGCTCGGGTGTTTGCCTTTGCCACCGCCAGTTCCATAAACGCACATGAGCACATGATGGCCGAGGTCGTCGTACAACTTGGCATGCCATGTCAACAACGTTCAACAACGAGCGCAGTGGCACATCCATGCGGTGCCCCTAAGCGCTTGGACGCAGCGTTGCATTATATGTACACACACACATACACACAGACATACACAGACGTACATACATACATTCATCCATGCATGCATGCCTGCATATGTTCGTACAGTCATACCTTGATAGCTTCATACCTTAATAGCTTCATGCCCTCATACCTTCACACCTTCAGAGCTTCAGAGGCTCATACATATTCATACATCTTCATACAGGCCTGCATGACAGGCTGACAGACAATATAGACGGGCTGACAGACATACACATATATATATATATATACACAGACACACAGACAGACAGACAGACAGACAGACAGACAGACGGACAGACCGACCCACCGACTGACGGACGGACGGACGGACGGACGGACAGACCGACAGACCGACAGACCGACAGACAGACAGACAGACAGACAGACAGACGTACCTTGCTACGTACTCTTACACACCTATTTCCCTACATACCTGTGTACATTCGTAATTACATCGGGACATACATACCTCCGTCCGTGCGTCTATCCAACCAGCCATCCAACAATGCATGAACGGGTTGCAGGATCGAGTTGACACAAGAACAGATCACGAAAACTGGACCGATCAAAACAACATAAGGAAAGGGCTCATCCCTTGCAAGCTCCACGCTGACCGATGTGGTGACCTAGCAGGACATTGTAAGGAGACATCTGAGCAGGGCTCCAGCCGCGCCGATGCCCCATCTATCGGTATGGGTTCGCGCATCCTTTCTGCCGCATAGAAATCAGCAACACCTTACGCCTGATAAATCCCGGCAAGCCTGCCATCTTTGACGGCGTCGCCAAAAGCTGGGCAGTCATTCGCTCACCACTGGACACTGCCAGTCACAGCCGTCCCGTTTCGACGATATCGCTGCCGCAGCGGTGTTGATTTACAGTTCTTGACACTCTCGACTTTAAAACATCTTGAAACTTGAAAATTCCTCCCGCCCTAAGAAGTTCAAGTTGAAGAAGCCACCGGTCGACTCACCAGAATACCAAGGCCGGACTAACCAATTATCTGAGCTTGAAGTGTTTTGTGTATCGGCGCGCACTCGATGTGGCAGTTCGGAGGTTGTTCATGATGCCTTCCGCTCGGGCGGCCACCACGAAGGCTTCCACAACTACCAATGCAGGCTTGACCAGTATCTCGCGCCTCCTCTGGCGGCCACTTCGAACACAAAAGGCCCGCCCCACCAAGTCCACGGAGTATTGGGCAGTGTAGGCTCCATCCGTGCTCGAGCTGAGCTTCTCACAAATGGAACTGAGATGAGAGTCCAAGGCACAGTTATGTCTCGCAACAACCCAATTGCCAACTACAAGCATCCCACAAGTCAGTGCCACACAGACGGCCTCAGATAGCAGGATATCCGACTCTGGGCTGTCCTCAGCCGAAACTCTCAACGTATTGACAGCCCCGCCCACGATGGCCGGAATCAGACCGATGAGGGGTAGAATCTCGTTCCAGTACCTCATGCGCGGGCCCCCATGAAACAAAGGAAGGCTGGCATGGATGCGCAGAATGCGATTCAAGATTCCCTCAAAAACCATTCTCTAAACTAGTTGCACTGTTGGCAATAACTCGCGAGATCCCAGTTTGGGCCAAGGCCTATGCACCGCATTTAAGCGTCTGACACAACTACCGCACGCACTGGGGGGGGAAGGCGGATATATGCACAGCCTCGATACAGCGAGCTCACTGACCTTCGGCCAGTATTTGCAGTTTACGGCCAGCCCTTCTTTGCGCTTGCTTAGTCTTCGTTCATGTTCACAGCTATTCAAACCGCTAGGGCACAGGGCTGTTTCGGATGTCATGCCGGCGAAGATGCCTCCTGACCACGAACTTGACCTCCGTAGCAAACGCGTTCCACGTGGCATCGTCCATCGCATCCAGACATGCCGGTTTTGCCAGGTCCTGTTTCACATAGGACTCATAAACACACAAACCTCAGAAACCCTTGGTGTGACGTGGCGAAAACAGCTAGGACCGGTGCCACCTGCCACCAGTAAACCCCGTTCCTAAATCCAATCCACCGAGGGCGGACAGGGGGCGGAGCCATGTGAGACTTGGTGACACACGACGGGTGCCCTTCCATGTCCTTCCCACCATTTCTGTATCCCAGGAACGTAACTTGCGAAAGTTTTCTTCTTGCATAGTCAGGAAAGCTGACACGGCATCACGTTTTGAGTTATATTGTCTGTTCTGCTCGCCCAAGCCAGCACTCGACTAGCTCCCCTCCTTTTTTCGGCACAGCCCCCCCCCACCCCTGCCCCTCGTTCGTTTCCGGGCGCCCAATTACATGTCGATGTCTGCTCTCTGTGAAACTTCTGCTATGCTCGGCCGTGTGTGACAAAGCACGCATTGGCAGTTAAGTTGCCTACTGTGCAATACCTCAATCTCGAGCCGAACTTCGAGCTTCGGCTTGATGACCGGGAAGTCCGCTCGCGATTGCAGCACCAGGCGAACACCGCCAGACGATTCCAACATCGGGGAAACACGGCTGCTACTCCTGGCGCTTTCTGAATTGACTGCACGGCTCTAGTGTTCATGCTCCGGTGGTCCCTGTGAAACCCAGGCTCAAATCCTTCATCAGCTGGGAATCGCCTGTGAGACACTGCAACATGAACCCTATACCCCACGCTCTCTCCGAGACCAGCACGAATAAGACGGTTAATGGCACGCGAACCGCCAGCAGCAAGAGCAACATTGGCCTGGTGGGTCGGACATTACTTCGCCCAAAAACATCTCATCAGCAACAGCGAACTAGCTGGATGAGACGCTATTGTGGCTAGTCGGCGGGTCTTGTTGTGTTGGAGAAGGCTCATGTAAGGGCCCGTAATCGCTTTCAGGCCTCCAAAACTGCCAGAGTGGCGTCTCATCCAGCAGCCAATAGGACAGCCTGGCTCCATGTTCCGGACAATGCCTCAGCGATATAAATCTTGGTGTTAGCCAGGCCGACTCGTTGGCACAGGTCCACGCTTCCCGGTAGAGGGTCAGATAGAGCGGCGCCTGGCACTGCAGCCAGACAAGCCAGAAGAGGTTGCATCCCAGGGACGGGTTGGAAAACTGCAAGCAACCGGCACCCGCTGGCATGATACCACAGACCTTGCCAGCTGAAAACCAGGTTCCTTCTAATCCAAGCCCTGTAGTTCTGGGCACATCTGCAACGTTGAAGCTTTTCAAGCGTTAGGTGATCAAACCGCGGATCGACTGCTCTCCCACTGCCCGGCCCTTTGCGCAGGGCATGGCGTAGTGATTTCGTTTTTACAGTTTTACCGTTTTACCATCCGTCAGGCACACAAACGTGGACACAAAGACCTGCAGAAACCATCAAAAACCAGTGTGCCCGACTCCTGGATACTGCATGCAAGCACCTCCCAAAGTAACGTTGCGAGCCCAAGACCTGACGCTCAGTGGTGCTTGGCCATGCTCCACGTGAACACCAGAGACTTCACGCGTCCTCCTCTGATTCTGGGGGACAAACCGGGAAGCTCAAGCATGGCTCCCATCAGGAAAATACCAAAACAGGTCGCATTGCGAATCCAGAGCCTGAAGCAAGCAGTGGGAGATCTTGATAACAATGCAGGGCTCCACCGTTGCACCATATTGCACCACAATCCGCAGCTGAGCATGGCGCACCAGAAGTGTTGCCTTGCAGACTCATGTCTAACATCGAACTGCAAGCCTTGCGGCGATCGTTCGCTCCCGTTCAGTTCAACATCCACCCCAAACGGCGACAGCTAACTGTTCGCCTCGGCCCGCGGCTCCCTTTGAACCTCCTTCCCCTTTTCTAAACCCCACAAGATCGGACTCTTGTCCCCAAGCCCAGACCGAGCGGAAAGTAGGCTTGCTCAAAAGTCGCCTCGACCCCCAGCCCCCCGGCCCCGCGGCCACGGGCTCAAGTTTTTGCATAGGTCTAACCGCTAAACGACTCTTCACCTGTGACCGCGCTGAGGTGGACGATGCGAAGCGTACACAATTGCAACAGGCGCATGCGACGCGCTGACAATGGTCACTGGGAGACTCGCCGATTTTTCGCAGTTGGACCGTAAAGGTAACCGACAATAACCTCAGCAATCTCTACTGAAATGGCCCTTTGTCGCAATCGCCCACAATCACAAACATTGGCAGGTTTGCCTATGATAAAGTTGCCACAAGCGTCCAGGTCCTGCTCTGAAGAGGAAACACGCGGCTCCCGATGGAATGTGCTGTCCTCCCACAACATATTGGCATAGTGGCCAGCTGCGATGGCCTTTGGGCACCATGAGGTGCCAACAGTTCTGATGGGGATTGATGGGAAGTATTTCAGCAGCGCGGGGCACAGGCAAAGATCACTTGGTAGGCGAGGTTTCCGTGAAAAAGCCAATCCTGGAAGCAGCACCACCGAAAGAGTATTTGCAACCTTGCATTGCCTCTTGTCCACTGCATCTACGCCTCCCAATCTGATGCTGCCATGAGCATGTCGATGAGCAGCGGCAAGAACAACACAGCATTGACCTCGCTCTGCAACTGTGGATCCAAGATCATAGAAGCCTATCTCGTCAGGTCTTTCCAAGGCATCGGCAAACACACACGCCCGGGATCGCCTGAAGCAACAACTCCACAGAAACGTCGCGATTGCTGAGAGGCCACATGCCGGAACATGCGCACAAAGTCTTCGATGCAAAGCACGCGCTGTGACGATCCACGTGTACATTCCTTCGTTCCACTATCCAGCCCATCAGTTCTTGGCATGCAAAGTTTTTTCCCCTCCCCTTTCCCTTCACACTTCTTGATCCCTTACTCCGCGTGAGTCGCAAGGCGTGACATATGCTGCAAAGCCCAAGGCTGCTGGGCCTGTCCCGTGCCAGGGGCCCACGAACGTAGGGGAAGTTTAGGCTGGAATTTTCCTGTGGCCATATAGGCACACGGTAATTGCCCTCGTGCTGGAACTGCTGGAAACGACACGGGATGATGACACGGGACATGCGGCATTGAGCGCGATGCTTGCGCAACACATCGTTCACAGCACGACTCGTTGGCATGTGTATGCATGTGTCAGAATTCCGCAAACCAAGAAGCAGCGCAGTAAGTAGCTCACGTGAGGCGCTTCCTGTCCAAACACTTGCCACCCAGCTCGAGAATTACTACACCAAGCTCTGCACATGACAAACGTTAAAGCGAGGAACCTGTACACCAGCAAGGTGCGACTCTTGTCCTCCATAGCCGCGAACACCGCAGGCCTGATACACGGCAACCAACATGCTTGCATGCGTCATGCACAATCTGCAATCACAGCCAATCAAGCACCTGCACGGGTCGTTGTCCACAAGGAACAATGCTTCCTTCAGTGTCCTGCATCAGGAGCTGCGTGCGAAGCTTTGTTTGTGCCATCTTGTGCCGTTGACCCTTGCTCCAATTTACATTCTCGGAGTTTGCTGCATCACTTTTTCGGCCGAAATACCGAAACAGTCGTGCATGTTTCGCCATGGATGAAAGCTTTACAGAAAACCGTCACCCAAAACAACAGTCTCAAAGCGCCGAAAACTCGCGCGGTACCCTGAGCTCGCCCCGGCCGGAGCACCTCCTCCGCCGCCTCGTGGGCATGAGAGTGCGCATGAGGTCCCTGCCAGCTCGTCCCGCACTTCGCGCGGCCGCTATACGACACGCTGGCAAGGCCACTGCTAGGGGTTTTGAGCTGCGCGCAGCAACGCGCGGTCGCGTCCACGCTGCTGGGCGGCACTTGGCACGCACCAGCGCGCCTGGGTAGCGATAGTCAACCGACACCGAGCGAAGTCGTCGAGCTTGCCGAGCCGACGCGACCTTCTTTGCTGCCACCGCGAAGCTCGTAGGAGACGTATGTACTGCAGCAGTACTGTAGCAGCAAGCTGAATTTTAACGAAAATCCACGAAGCATGCCATGGATTGGGATTTCTACATATTGTCAATGTACTTACTGTCACCGTGCACTTTTTGGCGTCGCATACTTTGTCGTGGTTCAGAAAAATCGGTGTTGGAGACAGCTATGGTCGCTTCTGTATTTGTTCTGTGCTTTTTTGTGCGACGACATCCGAGACAACGTCCTGCGGCAACGTCACACCGAGTCAAGCGCACCGAGCCACCGACCCCCGCACGACAGCCGAAAGCGGAGTTTAGGATCGTGTCAAAACGCACCCAGCGCCTAATTTCACACCTAGTTTCTACGAGCACCCTGCCGCGAGGGGGTCGGTTCACGCGTGTTTTCTTTCCAGACACTATTTCCGACTGCACGAGTATTCCACACAGGGTGCTCAGACCCTGCTACGCTACGTCAGCCGGCTCGATACCGGCGGTGATGCCCTTCACCCCCAGCGCATCGGCAAGGACCTTGTGCAAGGCAGGCATGGGCCCCTCGCCCAATTCGGAAGCAGGGATCAGCAGGGCGGAGTTCGAGGAGCGTGGCTGTCCGTCCAGCACGCCTACGCAGCCACGCTCCTCGAACTCCCCCCTGCCTGCCTTGCATTCGGTCCTTGACGATGCGCGAGTGAAGGGCATCACCGCCGGTAGCAGCCTGAAGTAGCGTAGCAGGGTCTGAGCACCCCATGTCTCGTCGGAAGAAGGTGTGGACAAAAAAACCTCGTTGAAGCCTTGGAAAGCCCACGCCGGCTCTCTGCGTAGTTCTTCGTGTGCCAGCGGGCGACCCAGGCTCGTGCACGAGAGCGGCTATAGCCGCACAAGGTACCGTTTGCGGGTCGACAACGTAGTTGCAACCGCAACTGCGACGACGCCATGCCGTGAGACCACCAGTGCAGTTTGAGCGCCTAGCGGAGGTGCATGCCTTGGTGAAGAGGCAGCTTCAGTTCCCAGCGGTCACCAACCTCGAGCCCGAACGCGACCAAGGGGCTCTCTGCCATCGTCGAGCTTATGCCCCCATTGTCGCAGCCATGCGCACAGCGACACTGAAACCAGAAGGTTTCAGTGCGGCACGAGGTTCTTGCCGACGGCGCTCATATCTCCTTGTGTCTTCCAGCGCAGTCCATGTTTTTTTGGGTCGACAAGCGTCCTAACCGTTTCCGCGGGTAAGGCTAATGCTCCCTAGACTACTTTGGCCGCACGGATTCATGCATAAAGTAGCACGGGCCAAACCCACTCGAGAGCTGCGCTGGTAGCGGGGCCGAAGCGGCTGCAGCGCGCACCAGTGGCCATCACAAATCAGCTGCTGTGCTCGCAGGCTCCACCGTCGCAACCGGCTCGGCTTCCAGCCATAGCACGCGAGCCAAGCACAACCTGCACTCCGCAAGCCATGCTTCTGGGCATCGAGTAATACTGTATCGAATAAAATTCGAGCCACTGACTCCAGGCGCGTGTACCGCCGTGCAGGACACATGCAGCTGTGCGGGGAGCCATCGACGGCACAGCGCTGGTCCTCAGACGGCCGAAAAATATCGAAAATTGGCACCTGCGGTTCGGCTCGTCCCGACGTTTCGCTGTGGCGCCGCGCAATCCCTGCGCGGACACTGGACTGCCGCTGCCCCACACGGTTGAAGCATGGTTGAAGTCCTACGCGCTAGCTGCTTTGATCTTGCACTGGTCTGAGCATTGTCTGAGCTCCTGGTTGTTCCTTCCACCGCACCTGCGCCGCCTCGCTCTTCGAGCTGCCTCCTTCAGGCGAACGTGGTGAGGGCCCCTTGCCAGAGCTGCATGAGGTTTATGAAATCCTGCCCGACTCTTGGAGCGACAGGCAGTGTACTGCGAGCAATTTTCCACCCTTCTTTGGTTAAGATCTTACTATATCTTACTCTTGTTTTTGACACACACACACACACCCACACACCCACCCACCCACCCACCTACGCACGCACGCACGCACGCACACACAAACACCGTTTTCCATCTGCGGACGGCCGGAGCGCTCCAGCCCCACATGATTCCAAACGGCGGGAAGCTCACATGCCGCCTTCCAGCATCCTCCAGCAGGGTGTAAATCACACGGCGGGGAGGTGACTGACGGGCACGGCCTCAGCATCACGGGCACCCGCCAACAGGTCGCCTAAGGGCGGCTCGGCGCGTCGCACTCGTCCGCTGCCTCCAGTGGCAGCTCGAGCAAGGAGTGAGCCAGCGCACGTTGGGCCGCCACCGTCAACTTGCCCGTCCAACGAGGCAACGAGGCACGTTGTACGGCCGGGCGTAACTGCGCTGGCGACTCACGGGCACGAGCTGTGGCCAGCTGTTGCAAAAAGGCACGCTAACTGTGAAGGCGTTTGCGTCTCGCTGCGGGCGCGTGGGTGGCAGGAGTAAACCATGCGTTAAGGCCTGGATGCGGCGGCCGTCGGTCAAAGGGCACATAAACAATCATGTCCCGTAGGAGGACATTTTCGGCGACCCGCGCTCCCGCTTCGGGGCACACGCGCGCCACCGCCCTTTCCAACGCTGCCCCACGCTTTCCAAGCACACCGGCGGTCGGGCAAGCTGCGCGATGGTCACCGAGAGCGTCGATTCCGCTTCGCGGAAACATGCGGTAGCATCGTGTGTCTCCTCGCTCCAACTCTCGGAGGTAGCGGTTTTTTCTTATTGTTTTGTTTTCACTCCGAGAGTCGCATCTGACGATGCATCCATCAGCCATCATCAGCCCATGTTCCCCAACAAAATGAATCTGTACGTGTCGACGAATGCAAGCCCAAGCCGCCGTGAGCAGCATGAGTCCAGAAACAACCGTCTTGCGGTCAGTAAGTTACAAAGTGAAACGAAAGATATGTACAGGTATTCACAAAGGGCAGATATGCCACATCAGATCAGAGATTCAAGCCTTCCAACAATGAGCGTTGGGCTCGACACACACCAGCCACAAATTGCATGTGGGCTGACAGCAGGCCTACAGTGTTGCAAGGGTGCTGTGGCGAAAAGAGCAGATGCAGAAACGCGTCGTCAGGCAACTACTCAACAGCTCTTAGCCCAAACACCTGGGAACGGTATATCCAAGCCCTTCGCCACGGTACAAACAGGGGGCAGGAGCGTATAGAGCGTGAACAAAGCCCCATACAGCAGCGCCACACAGACATGGCTGGGCTTGAGACCTGTGGCGGGCAGAACGTCCATCAAGGAATGGGTGATGGCCACGCCGAGCCAATGTCCACTCACGAACTATAGACGCAGACACACGTGAGCTATGGACACGTGGACAAAAACTTAGCCTAGGATGACACTCAGCAAAGAGACGAAGCGACGGCACAGCCGCGACATCCGCGACTTCAGCACGACGTGCAGCAGCAGCATGCCGATCCAAAGCTGGGCACATGCGCCGACGTCTCCAGGCAGCCACGGTGCTTCCACTGCAACCCGGCGACACTCCCCACACATGCGGCGCATCAATGCCACAGTCACGCATGTCATTAGCGACTTCTTGGGCCCAGGAGTGCTGCTGGCCTAAGGCATAGCGAAAGACTCGTGCAGCAAGGCCCTGTGGACGCCAGCAGGATCAGCAGAGCATAGGCGCCCAAACAAACTGAATTGCCTTCGCAAGACCTCGTGGCGAAAGGGGGCCCAACCTAACTCACCCAGAACGGCCGCGCCGGGGGCCCCAGCAGGCCACTGCAAGAGGCGACGACCCCACTGACGCAATTTCTTGTCCAGAAAGTCTACTGAGCTGGTGCTCAGAAACTGACATCCGTATAACATGGAGGGGAGCACATATGACTGGAACAAGCTGCGCCGAAAGCCTGTGTGCAATTGGCGATTTTCCGCCCAAGTCAGGAACTGATGAAATTTACGGTCGCTCTTCGCATAAGACGCTCACCGTGCTTGTTCCACTTGCGGGATGACTGGAAGACGACACCCAAATATACCCAAATAACAGTATTCCGTGACTACGGGCACGGGGACATCATGAAGGGTGAAGTTGAAATCACGTCTCCTACAACCCGCGGCCAAGACAGCAGTCTTGTCAGGCCCAATCCCAAAAGAGAAGCTCCAACGCGCTCCCGAAGTCCCAACAGCATCTAAGGCACGTTGCAAATCCGAAGGGCGGTGTGCCAAGACAACCAAATCGTCGGCATACAACAACAGCGTGACTTTGGGCGCACCGGCTCCACCTAGCGTCACACCCGGACAAGCCCCGCGCACAGTCGTGGAAATGCTGTTGAACAACATGATAAACAGAAGTGGGCCGAGCACACTGCCCTGACGAACGCCCGCTGTTTCAGCCCATGGCTGCGAGAGTAAACCATTAACCACAACCTTGGCAGAGGTGCCTGTGAACAGGTCATCCAATACCTTCCACATCGAGCCCGTGATGCCAGCTTAACTAAAACCGCATTCCTCCAAGCAACGTCGGAGGCCTTACGGACGTCCACAAACGCACAGAATGTTCGTTTGCGACG